TCTCTCTCTCTCTCTGTGTGTGTGTGTGTGTGTGTGTGTGTGTGTGTGTGTGTGTGTGTGTGTGTGTGTGGGCCATGAACATAGAAAAGGAGCCATGATAGAGGAAGAAACATTTTTTTTTTTTTAATTTTCCCCAAATGGGTTTAGACTCTGTGATCCCGGGAAGAGGACACCACTGGAAGGCGTCCTCCATAAGATAAGTTTTATGATTATGGTTGATAATTAGGTCTGAGCTAGCAGATAAGAAATCCTAGTCATTGGCCACCAGCATTGTACCTAATATAAGTCTCTGTATATTATTTGAGGCCCTAAGACGGCAGACGGAACTCGGGCAGAACTCAGGCGGCTTGGCGGAAAGACTTATCATTACAAGACTCTTCATAGCTGCATGTAGATTTCCTCTTGTTGTTCACATAATGATCCATGTGCCTCACCTCAGCTTACTTATTGCTTTTCATATTGATCTCTAGGCCTCTGCACTGGGTTCAGTATTCTCTGAGGCTAAATTGGATTTTGAAAGAAATTAGTCACAGAAGGAATTGCCCAATGTCTGTCAAAGGCAATTATAAGTTTACCAATAGACTATTTAAAAAGTCACCCCATATGTAAACTTTCCATTTTATTTCTGTGAAGTGATGAGAGCCTACGTCAATTATGAATGTTTTTAATATTGCCTGTCATTTTGAGTCCTCCATGTACTTGTTTCCCTTGGTTGAGTCTTTGACATAATCTGACTATACTATGATTTTCTACCAACACTCAGTGGCATACTTTTAGCAAGAAGCTAGTAGTGTTTGTGTTTTTCTTCTGCAGTGCTTTGGATAGACGCTGTGCCCTTGTGCATTTGAGACAGGGCCTCTAACCATTGAGATACACTCCAAGCCCAAGGAGTCAATGCTCTGCTTTGTCTTTTATTCAATGTTGGTTCTAAGCCTGCTTGTTCTATGCTAGAGAGCCCTTTCTAGAATGAGTCAATTGTGACTAACCTCAGTAAATACTGCTGTCATTGTCAAATGCAAAGTGGTCGAGCAAGTTCCTGAGAGTCAATGAATGTAATAGTCCCTTATGGAATGTGCACTAATAATGAGTTGTAGCGATTTCAAGAGATATGAAAAGGTGAGTGTCTATCCAGTAATGTATCCCATGAGAAAGGATGAGAAGACAGCTTTCTCCTAGATGTGGCTAGGATGATAGAGTAGCCCTGCCTTGATGTAATCACTGTTGGTGGTCCAAATATAGCTCTGATGGACCTGAAGTCTAATATTGTCACTGTATCTGGTTTAGATACCTGTAGTGAGAAGCAAAACTGCACAATAGTACTTTTTCTTCCAGCTGTCTGTGAAGATTTTTTTTTTAATTTCTGCTGATGAGCACATTCTGTCATACTAGAACATTCTCCGTAGATACAGGTGGGCTCCGGTTCCCATTTACTGAGGCCCTGCTCTGTGCCTCCCCCTCAGAGTACATCACATTTCATACAGCAAGCTCCTAGAAAGAGGCACAATGCCCGTTATGCAGACAGGGTCACTACAAATTCACATAAGTGATTTGCTCAACTAAGCACAAAAATAGATTGGGAAAGCTTTGAGTCATTCACTTCTGCTTTTCCTGGTTGCTTGGTTCCTACAGTTCTCTCCTACTTCAGATTATGGATTCCTACTTATCCTGTTTCCAAAGATAGATTATCTGAGGACATTGTCACCAGAACTAGATAGCAAACTATGTTAAGCAACTCATACAAGTTTGTTCATTTACCACAGTACGTTTTAGAATCCGAGTGAGCTGGGGGATGAGGACTGGAGATATAATGGAGGAAATGATATAGAAATAATGAGCTCTGACATTCTTGATTCCAGCAGGAAGCCACAAAGGGCATGATTGCTGATCTCCAGATGTTAACACTCTCAAAAGTGTGTGTTGACTCTGGTTTTTGTGTATGTAACCTTCTAAGAATGTTATTATCATAACGTATTAATATGTCAAAGATAAAATTGGTTTGGGCAACAACTAGCAAGCAATTAATCGTTTACTTTACTGTAAGTGAAAGGGAGATGTGAAAGCTAGATATCTTATCCAAGACTCCACAAGCAGTTGGGTAAGTATTTCTGTAAACTCTCACTGAATAGAGGTGCTTGTCTTCAGCATCTGACCCAGTCAAAATGCACTTTTTAATAGCCGGTCAAGCTCAGCATCATTTCTGCTTTGTGTTTCCAGTTCTGTGTGGCCAGCTTACATCAGTACACAGTCATCGCACTTTGGTGTGGGCTCTGCTTCTCTCTCCCTTTGCTTTTTGTATTTCAGTAGCTTCATGTACACAGCTTCAACATTTTTTTGATTACTCCATGGTCTCATTGCTTTAAAAGTATAACTTTTGTACCTTCTGTTCCTTTTTGTATTGCTTGAAAGTAACACTCAAAATATAGCACATGTTGAGAAGTCAGGTGCCAGGACTGCTTTCCTGATGACAGTTTCTTGGTCGAGGCATAGCTCCTTTGGTCTCCCAAACTAATAGTGGCACGGAGATTAAATTTCACCTCTAGATCATTTTTAGAAATCAGCTTTCAGCATGAAGTTTTTCCATCCCAGATCATTCTGTATTAGCTCTATTTGTGCCTGTGTTGTTTTATTCAAAGTGTCAAATGTCCCCACTAATCAGTGAACACATTTCAGTTGTCTGTCCATATTGACAACTGATGACACTCTTCCTGTTGGAAGCATTTCTTGATTTTATCAACACTGTTTTCTTTCTTTCTCTCTCTCTCTCTCTCTCTCTCTCTCTCTCTCTCCCTTTCTTTCCCTCCTTCCTTCCTTCCTCTCTTTTCTGTTGCTTTTTCACTGCCTTCCTTGAATTTCTCTGGCCCAATGTCTAAGGTAACTCTCCTCTTTGTTCTTCCTTGGTGGCCCTTCACTCTCCTGACCTGCGGCTGTGGATATAGGGTTCTCTGCTAAGCCTATTTGGATGTTTGCTTTCTCTTTAAAACCTAAAATATCTAAATTTTATCCCACAAATTTTACCCCTAGGGTCCCCAGACATAACAGCCCACCCACCCTTATCTCTCCATGAAGGGTACCCACAGCCCCAGGCAGAGTGAAAGTGTCTTAGCTTTCAGTCTTCTTGCTTCAGTAAATACACGTTCAATGTTCTTCCTTCATAATCCATTCTTCCTGATGAACTCACACCATTCTAGTTTCATCCTTTTCTTTGCTGGGCCTGTACTGGTGAGTACCTACCAGATCACCCTATCACTCCAGGTTTTTCTACCTTTCAATTTTCCTATGAAGAGTACTGTTGGTACCTGTCCAGAAAGTAACTTTTATATATGATGTTGACTAACAAATTCCCTTCAGCGTTCCTGGGTAATGTCTGGAGTCTATCCTGCCAGACAGATATCTGTATAATGTAGATGGTACCCTCACAGACTTTCTCCATGGTACCCTTCCAGTGTTCTCAATTTGCCTACATGAAAAAGCCACTAACTACTAAAGACAAAGCAGAGTACAAATCTCCCATTGTGAGGATTTATACACTTTGATACTTTTATATTTTTGCACATGATTTACATTAGTCTTCTTTCCAGGAATCTCTATGTTATCTGCCTAAGGTAGCTTATAGAGAAGGTTCATTGTGGCTTGTAGTTTCAGACATGCATGATCTGGTGGCCTGTGGCTAGGCAGCATGGCATGGTAGAGATTTGTGTCAGAACAAAATCTCTCACCTTATGGCTGGAAGGTTAAAAATAAAGAAAGAGATCATAGTTCCATAATCCCCTTTGAGACTATCCCTGTCACAATGCAGAACATCCTACAAATAGCAGCAAGCCTTAAACACGGGGTGCCTGTGGTGCATTCCATAGCGGTATTCATCCATCTAGAATATAGCTATATATTCAATTCTATTTTCCTTGATCATTTTTCAATGCCCAGCTTGGCACCAGCTTTATCTAAAACACCCACACAACCACCTGACTCTAAATAATCACACTTGCCTATGAAAATCTATTGCTAGACAGACTGCAATTTATTTTCTAAAGCAGAACATTTAAGAGTGAAAGGGTGTGTCATTGTTAACAGAGTCAGGACACAAGGAAGTACCAGGCTGACTCTAGATGACCTGCAGCAAATGTTACATCATTTAGCACACATGGCATGTATGTTTTGCTTGGCACTGCATTTAACACGTGGCATCTGCTACCACGTGCTGTTTGTATCCTGAATCCTCATCAGTTCTAGCCCTGGGTAGTTTCATTAGGTTCCTTTTTCCTCATAATATTTGAACCTAAGATTTCACCATATAGCTTAGTATTCTAGTAAGCAAATGATGCTTGTTAATTAGAATGCTAGCAGAAGTCACCCTTTAGTGGCATTTGTTTGATCTTAAGTTCAAGAAGTGATTCTTTAGAGAACTGTAGCATCTGACTGTGCTCTTTTATTCAGTTGATTGACATGTGCATGCAGAACTGTGGTCCCAGTTTCCAGTCCCTGATTGTGAAGAAGGAGTTCATTAAAGATGCTCTAGTGAAGCTGCTGAATCCCAGATATACCCTGCCCTTGGACATTCAGAACAGGATCTTGAATTTCATTAAGGTAAATCTGTTGGCTTATGTCAAGGGATGGTAAATTTCTACGTATAGAGAGATAATGATACAAATGATCCTTTAGTTACCTAGGATTGAAACATAAAGCACTTTCTCTTCTTCCTTTTCTCCTCCCTCCCTCCTCTTCCTTCCTTCCCTCCTCCTCCTTTTTTTTTTTTTTTTTTTTTTTTTTGGTTTTTCAAGACAGGGTTTCTCTGTATTGCTTTGGAGCCTGTACTGGAACTCCTCTGTAGAGTCCCTTCCCTTCCCTTCCCTTCTCTTCCCTTCCCTTCCCTTCCCTTCCCTTCCTTCCTTCCTTCTTCTTCTTCCTTCCTACCTACCTTCCTTTCTTTCTTTTGACCTGGTCTCTCTCTAACCCAGGCAGGCTTCTAACTCTCTATGTAACCAAGGATGATCTTGAACTTCTGATGTTCCTGCCTCCACCTCCCATCTACCCCGTTTATGCAGTGGTGAGGATTGCGCCCAGGGCTTCATGCATGCTAGGCAGAGTTTCTGTGGAGTAAGAGTCCTTGACATTGGATAGTGTTCTTCTGGTAGCCATTTCCCTATTTCCTTTCAGTTTTTATTGTATCTATGTCACATGGGAAAGGTAGTCATGTGTAGATCCATCTGCAGATACAGAAACTATATTCTAGGGTTGTTTGGCAAAAAAAGCTCCTGGTAGGAATCTAGAATGTTTAAATTTTAGATTTCGGGCAGCCGTAGATGATTGGTCGGATCAATCCCATTTTACATCATAAGCTTTAAGGTGTATTCGTTTTTACTATTTGTTTTTCCGCTCCGGTACTCTGTTTGGATTTAGACTTGGTCACAGGGCTTCCCAGGAGGTGTGGATGTAAGTGAAGTGAAGGAAGTGTATCTTGACCTGCTGAAGAAAGGGGTGCAATTCCCACCGTCGGATGCAGACACTGAGACAAGGCAGGAGGTAGGAGGCCTTTCTTTGATGCATGTACAGTGATATATGTTGCTAGCGCTAGTTCAGTCAGCTTAGCAGAAAAATGAATTTATTAGAATATGTCCGTATCTCACAGAATAACCTGGGTTTAGGCTTCACCACTCACGGTGTGATTTGAGGCTTGGTTTGTTGACCATAGTGTGTTATACCATGCTGGAATCTTGCTTCTGAAAAGGGTCTGGGTGTTTCAGTGCACACTGATATTGAGAAGCCACTGACCTAGAACATCATATTCATGACCTGCTGGTGTGGCTGTCCACTCGTGCGGCCAGATCACTTCTGACCCAGGGAGCTATTCACTGATGGAGGAGAAGCCTTACCAGCTGTGGGGATTTTTTTTTTTTTTTTTGGTTTTTCGAGACTGGGTTTCTCTGTGTAGCTTTGGAGCCTATCCTGGCACTCGCTCTGGCCAGGCCGACCTCAAACTCACAGCGATCCGCCTGCCTCTGCCTCCCGAGTCATTAAAGGCGTGCGCCACCAATGCCCGGCTGGTTTGCCATTTTTAATAACACAGAAAAGGGACAACCTTAATTTCACATGGCGGTTCATCATATGGTGCCTTGGTGAAAACCAAGAGGCCTCTACTGATTAGTCATTTCATTAAGTAGCGTAATTTATGAACACCTCCCATGCCACAGCATGCCATTTGCTTAGAGCTCTTCTCCAAATGTTGGACGAGTTGTGCCCGATGATCAATTTTGAGCTAACACCTACTACCTGGGACTTTTTCTGAGAGTTCCGGGATCAGCTGACTGGGAGCCGGGCGTGAGGTGGCTTTGTTAATGCATGTTGTAATATTTCCTTATTTTACGTTGATAGGCTGCTCAGCTCTCACCACATCGACCAACACCTGTCCCTACTGCACCCGCTCTTTCCTCTATAATTGCTCCCAAGACCCCGACAATTTCATTAGTTCCAGAACAGGTAACAACACTGACAACTGTATTTATTCATGTCTTTTTCAAGCGTTGTACTTAAGAGTTTGAGTTTTCTTACTAGCATTATGAGGTGTAAATATAATGTAACATAACCTTCAATTAAGTAACATCTTTATTTTGCTTTCTGACATGAGGTGTCTACTATATAGCTTCTTCTGGCCTGGAACTCACTATGTAGCCCAGGCTGGCCTACAACTCCTGATAATCCCCTTGTCTCTGCTTCCTACATGTTGGGGTGACAGGCATTGGCTGCATGCATACATATCCCCTTCTTTTACTGTGGGAGGAGGGACTGCCACTTAGGGACACTGTGTCACCATTGGTTTCTATGCAGAATTAGCCCATTGAGTTTTGTCTGAATACAGTGCTCACACATTTTAAAATTGTGCTTGGGGCCAATGAGATTGCTTGGCAGGTAAAGTTGCCTTCCACCAAGCCTGATGACTTAAATTGAATGCCTAGAACCCACATGGTGAAGGGAAAGAAGCAGCTCCCAAAAAGGGTACTCCATCTTATGTAAACACACAAACACACACACATCCCAAATAAGTAAGTAAATAAATAAATAATGTGTTTATGAAAAGAATGTTGATCAGTCTAGGCTGTGGATGAGATCTGAGATCCCCACCACTGACTCTTGTTTCTTTTCATTTCAGAGAGCCCAGTAGCCAGTTGTCTTATTACCTATGTTAATTGTACCAAATGAGTTGCATTTTTCTCCTTAGTCTCTGTTTATAAGAGGTCTAGATAAGTATAATTAATTTATGATGCTCATTTGTATCTTTGTATTATAAAACTATCATTGAAGACTTTACATTAGTTTGAAGGCTTCATATTAATATTATTCAGTGTTTCTTATATTAAAAGGCCACGTGATTGCTTCCTCTTATAATTTAAACCTTTTAAAAGAAATGTTTCTCTTTTTGTCTTTCCTCCTATAATATCATGATAACTCTAAAATTGCAGCTCCTTTCTCTTTCCTATTCTTTTCTGATTATTTGCCAGAAACTCAGGATAATGTGTGATGGCATTTCTCTTTTTTTCCAGGTTCCTATTAACTTCTGTTACTAAGTATTTCCTACTTTATCCATATTGGTCCAGATCATTTTGTTTCTTCCTCTGTAGTTTTCCTGAGGCATATCTGTGGATTTCTTATAAGAAATACCAAGTCTATTCAGGAAACAACAGGGTATAATTTGTAAAATAATTATACATATGCTGAGGTGGATCTCTGTGTGTTTGAAAACGTTACATTTTGCAAAGGCATTTGATCCCTAGCATTTGTCCGGTGGGAAGGAAGCAAGATAGCCAACTGTCTGTGGGTCACACTTAATGACTGGGGGTTCCCTGGATTTCCACAGATCGGGAAGCTGCATAGTGAATTGGATATGGTGAAAATGAACGTGAAAGTCATGACCGCCATATTAATGGAGAACACTCCTGGGTCTGAAAACCATGAAGACATAGAGCTGCTGCAGGTATGAGCCCAGGGACAATCGGGGCAAAGCGTTCCGAATGTCCTTTTCTAAGGAACTCTGAACTTTGGAGATGGAAGGTTTCGTAATAGTGGCTAATGGCCCATCCCTATATGTCTTGGCTTCCTTTGATTTCTAAACTTAATCGTGTTGTCAGAAATGCAGTGGTAACACACGTGATCAACCCTAACCCCTTTATAAAAAAATAATTCACTGTAATGCATAGCTTGCTCATGCGCAATCAGACTTACACGTGAAGTATGTAAAATTGCCTTACGTGCATCTGCTCACCAAACACTGAGTAGTTGTGTTGTAGTTAGGGCTGTAGAAATGAAGGCGCTGTCCTAGGCCTTGGCTAGGTTGGCTTGTAAACAACACAGTAAAATATTACAAGTGCCGGGATAAAACTATGGCATGACTGTGAGTGGGGAAGACAAAATTTTAAGTGAAAGTGTAGCTATAAAGAGTACTTAGGCTGTAGAGGAGCAGATACCGGGTCATTTAGTACCTGACCCCACATGAGTAGCTGGATGGATACCCCACACTTTTTTTCCACATCTGCACCTACATATGTCCACCTTCCCTCCACTGTTTTTTTAATTATTAACTTTGCTTTTTAGAATTTATTAACTGCAATGAGGCACAATGGTTCGTGTATGTAATACTAGCACTAGAGAGCCTGCGGTGGAAGATCTCTTGAGCCCAGGAGTTCAAGACTGCCTGAGTAACATGGCAAGACTCTTTAACAAAATGAAACAATCAGAGCTATAATTCCATTTAAGCCTTATTGCTTTAAAAAGGTCTCAGAGAGAAAAACAAAAAACCAAACAAAAAAAAAACAATTTCTAAGTCTTTCCAGAAAGTTAAGTACCTCCTCATGTTTTTACTCTTTTCAGAGCCCTACTCCTTATTTCCCATATTGGTTTTGTCTTTCTCCTACTTACTCTTATTTTCAGTGGCTGAAGCATACTCTCCCACTCGGAGTAAACTGAGTACTTGCATAGCCTAGAACAGTTTTTGTTCCATGTTAAATGCTAGTTAATTTAGCTGGATGGATTCTAAGCATAGCATTCTTTTCCCTGACTTCCTTGGAAGGAGATGTTCCCTTGTTCTCCTGCATTCTGTGGTGCTGATGAGAATAGTCATTGATCTCTGACTCCTCATTTGTTTCATAATTGATTAATTTTTTCTCTTGCCATTTTGTGGTTTCTCTTCCCTTTAATAGTTTTGGTATTTCACTCTTCTTCTACGAACAGATATTTGCGTGTGCATGCATGAATAATTCCCTTATTATCCTGCTTGATAGTTTCTAGGTCCTTATCGGCCTTAGTTGTATTTTTGATTCTAGGAACTATATAGTTTTTACCAAAGATATTGCATCTATCTTCCATTCTCTCTAGTCTTACACAGTGTTGCAAACAATAAGATTTCTGGTTTTATTTTAGTATCTCTTTTGTTTTAAACTTTTCTTCATTTGTTTGAGCTATTGTTCCTGAAAACAAAACAAACAAACAAACAAAAAAACAACTCTGTATTTGATGTATTGTTTCTTGAAAACTTACGTTATTAATTTCCCTAATATCAGCTTTCCCGCTAATGCATTATTTCAAGTATTACCTTTTTGTTTAAAACTTTATGTGGATATTTATAGCAGTACAAATTGTTTTGCTGTGGTTGTTTGCTTCTCTGTTCAACTTCTAAAGCTGCTTTTATGTCTGTAGTGTGGGCTCTGCTTTACATCCTCTCCTGTTCGTAACCTCTTACATCCTATGAGAGACTCTTTGCCAGCTGTTGGGCATTGCCTGTTGACCCTTGCTGAGAGAATGCCAAGGTTTTCAGCATTTGAGTATTCTGCATGGGATGGATGATGCTGGCTGGGATACAGTGAGAGCTGGTCTTCTGGGTTATAAGCTTTCCACTGTCTTCCTAGATATTGTCAGAAGTAGGAAAAAAGACTTGTCTGTCCCAATCATTGTTCCCGCTTAGAAACATTTACACACACACACACACACACACACACACACACACACACACACACACACACACACTTAAAAAGAAAATGAATCTTCCACAAATTTCCTTAAATATTGTTATAAAAAGTAAACAAAGGAATCTCCACAGGTAATCTGTCTGTATCTATGCACGCCCATAACAAAGACTGCTAGGACCTCACATATACCTTTCAGAACACTCCTCCCCAATCAATGGACATGAGCTTACATCTGTATAACGATAAGAAGATGATTTCAACTCCCATTTGGGGAGCATCAAGACCTAGATATGGTGGGATAGATATCTTCTCTATTTCACTGGGGAACTCATATTATTCCCTAAAGGGAGCTTAATCATAATTCCAGGAAGAGTCACTAAAGCATATAAACTGGCCGTGAGTAGTTGCAAGCCTATGAGCCCAGCATTTCTGCCCAGATATTAGCAGAAATATCTCCAGTTGAAACCAATATGGCCTGTGTAGTCTAAGATCAACCTGGGCCATAGAGTGAGAGACCTTGTCTCAAAAAATAAGTACATGAATGATTATAGAAATTGAGAAACTATACAACCAGCTCCAATTTTAAAAGATCCTTCTGGCGGCACTAATTCTAGGAAAGGAAGACACATTTCAGGAAACAACTTAAAAATTCTTTCTTATATTTGGTGTAAAAATAGTACATAGATGGAAACTTTGCAAACCAGTTTTGTCCAACATAGTGGTGCATGCCTTTTAATCCCAGCACTTGGGATGCAGAGAAAAGTGGATCTCTGTTAGTTAGAAGCTATCCTGGTCTACATAGTGAGTTTCAGGCCACACAGGGCTATACAGTGAGACATTGTCTCAAAGTGAATGAACAAATGAATGAATGAAACAAATAACCTACCTAATTTATCCTTTTTAAAATGTATAGTTATGATACATTATGACTTTTTTTAAAATTTATTTATTAGTTCAAGTTAGGGAACAAGCTTGTTTCACATGTAGTCCCTTCTCCCTCTCCCTCCCCTCACCCCCATCCCTCCTCCCTCACACCCAATCTGCCCCCCACCCCATCCACCCACCACTCCCCAGGCAGGGTAGGGCCCTCAACAGGGGCTTTGCAGTGTCCTCCAAATCTTCCTGGACTGGGCCTGGATTATGACATTTTTAAAAAACCACTTAATCCAGCATCTTCAAACTTATTTGACCAAAGGAACTCTGCTTGCTAAATATGTAATATGAAACATAAGAATAATATAACTTGAAGCAACAAACAATTAAAAAAATAGGGTCTTACTTTATAATTCAAGCTATTTTTGTATTTGCTGTGACATCCAGCCTGTCAAAATTCATGACAGTTCTCCTGCCTCAGCCTGGGATTAGAGATATGTGGTGCTACACCTGGCTCAAATTATTAAATTCAATCACCAATGTAGGGATATTTTATTTAGAATATTTTAGTTAGGAACATTGTGTTATTTTGCTCAGCATTCTTGGGACTCTTTACTTTCCTTGAACTTTTACTAATTGTATGACATGAAGAGTTTACATGATATTTAGTAGACAACAGTAACATTAATGGCAGCCTGTTAGTGCAGGAGAATAAAAGAAAAATAAATCAATCACTGGAGTTCATGTGTAGTAATCCCTAAAGAAAAACCTGACTGACCCATTTTTAGATATAAAATTTGTGGCTTGTGTTGCTAGCAAGCATGTTAAATTAAAATTTAAAAACAAATAACAATAGAAAAGGGTATTTTAAAAAATTGCTACAGTGATATTCCTAGTTTCCCATGATCTTTACAATCCTGTTCCAAATCCTAAAATTAAGTGACTATGACTTTCCTCTCATGTTCTCACCCATCCCTGGCAAACAATCCTTCAATGAAAATGTGTGCCATAATGCTCCGTTTAAGTATGTGACCCGAGTTCTATATGTTATCCCATTAGGAACAAATGTCTTCTTGTCTCAGTGGGTGGGCGTAGATGTGCAGTGGTTTTCAAGTGTGATTGCTGGTTGCTACTCTGATGCCAGAGCCCAGAGATGTGTATTTCTCTACATAGCAAGGACACTGAGGTGATGAGTCAATGTTAGATTCCATCCCATGCTCAGCACTGACACAGAACAGCTTGGCGACAAACACTATACAGCATTTAACTTTCATTTTCTTCCCATACTTTTTGTAAGTAATAAATAACGATCCGGTGTGAACACTGCTTAATTTCTTCTTCTTCTTCTTCTTCTTCTTCTTCTTCTTCTTCTTCTTCTTCTTCTTCTTCTTCTTCTTCTTCTTCTTCTTTTTTTTTTTTGAGACTGGGTTTCTCTATGTAACAGTCCTGGTTGTCCTGGAACTCACTCTGTAGACCAAGCTGGCCTGGAACTCACAGATAACCTGCCTGCCTCTGCCTCTCAAGTGCTGGCATTAAAGGCATGTGCCACCATGGTCCAGCTGTTCCTAACTTCTTTTGCCAAATATATTTTTATTCTAATTAACTTTCTTTACTCTAATCAACCACTATGGTTAATCTAAAACAATGAACTGGATGTGATAGTCTATGGAGAGAAATGACTAGGAACCTATGTTTAAAGATAAATAATTGTGAGACCAACAAAAATTGACTGTGGATGAAAAGAATGATTCTTTAGATTCTTATTTTTTTACTGTTTCAAATTTTCTTACACCTGTCTGAACTGGGCGACCAGTAGTAGATGAACCCTGGGTGATGGCTGATAAGCTCTACTTCCTGATTGGCCACCTTCATAGAAACTGCAGGAGATTCTAGAGGCTCAGCAAGAGCCTAAGTCGGTGATTTCTCAACATTCCTAAAGCTGTGACTCTTTAATACACTTCCTCATGTTGTGGTGACCCCCCAACCATAACATTATTTTCATTGCTACTTCATAACTGTAATTTTGCTACTGTTATGAATTGCAATATAAATATCTGATATGCAGGATCTCTGATATGTAACCCCAAAGGGTTGGGACCCACAGCTTGGGAACCACACTGTTCTAGGTGGTCATCAGAGA